ACCCCTTAAAAGGGAGAGTGTAAACAAGATTTTCAAGTTTTTGATTAAGAAAAATATTTTGACATTTCCACCCAACAAAAGAGTAGAAGATGAAGGACAAACAGAGCATTCTTTATATTGTCCATTTCATAAGCATATTGGTCATGTGATTGAAGATTGTTATGTGTTCAAGGATAGGGTGGAGAGCCTTATGGCTAGTTGTGAGATTCACTTGCAGGATAGTGATTTGGTACATCCTCGGGGCAAGGTTGCTCAAGTTGTTCAGATGATTACTAGCTCTAGTCAGTGTGACAGTTAGTGTGGTGTTCAGAGCAGTGATAGTAGAGCACCTCTTAGTTGTGGAGAGGAGTGGCAGCTTGCACTCTCTCGCAAGACAAGGGGTATGATCAGACGGGCAGTTCAGAGTTCAGAGGCAGTTGAGAGGAGGCTCCCACAGGCCAAGTCGATAGTTGCCAGCCCAGTTTCTTTGCCAGTTTCTTTTTCTTCTTCTGTTGTAGTGCCTACTGAGCACGTTTCTTCTACTTCTACTTGTACTAGAAAGATGTATCAAAGAGAGAAATTTATTGTAACTTCTGAGGGAAAGACAGGATCTCTTCCAGCACTTATGCTGAAGGATTTTATTCTCCCTTCAACTGATGATGAATTAATGGAAGAAAATGATTATGGCTACTTTTGGTCTCTTGTTCCTTCTTGTGCTACCTTTTCTAGCACTCATTCTTCTCATGTTTTATTTATTTCTGAAAATAATGATGATGGTCTTTCTTATAGAGAAGAGTTTGAGTGTGAGGAAGAGCCTGTATTCGCTATTCCTAAAGGAGGTTGTTACATTAATTTCGGAGATGAATCCGAGAACACTCCTCAGTCACTTTTTGCTGAACCAACACAAGCCATGTCACCTGAATCAAATGAGTCCTCTATTGAGTCTGACTCAATATGAGAGATATAATTGCGTTCAGGTAAGGTCCTTCCACCCAAGATGGCTAAGAATAATAAAGAAAAAGATAGAAACATCATTACCCAACAGGATGATCCTATCCCTCCTCCTCAAGCACAGGCTAAGGAGAAGGGAAAAGGCTCTCAATTGGATGTTGATTATAATGTGTTGGCTCATTTGAGAAAGATCCCTTCCCTTCTTAGTGTCTATGATGCACTTATGATGTCTTCCGACTTGAGAGAGATTTTGGTGAAAGCTTTACTTTAACCAGAATCTTATCAAGCCTTTTTTGCCACTAAGTCAGTTAAGGATGCATACTATTTGAGAGAGATGCAATGCATTACCTTTTCAGACCAGGATCTTCTTTTAGGGACTCCTGATCACAACCGTCCCTTGTACGTCATCACTGAAGTAAATGGTTATGAGTTGAACAGGGTCCTCATTGACCAAGGAGCTTCAGTTAATATCCTTAATCATGCCACCCTGCAGAGCCTCTCCCTTGGACATTTGAAACTAACTTCAGATAAGATTATGCTGAAGGGTTTTAATGATCAACGTCAGCGGGCTCTAGGTTCCATCACTTTGCCTTTGCGTTTTGGAGATCTTTTGACTAAGGCAAAGTTTCATGTTATTGAGGAAGATACCTTATACAAGGCTCTCTTAGGAAGGCCTTGAATTCATGAGTACGGAATGGTGCCCTCTACACTACACCAGTGCATGAAGTATATGAGGAATGATGTAAAGTTTTCCATTCCTGGAGATACTCAACCCTTTACCGTGTATGAGATTTCTATCTATGATGATGCCGAGCATTACATGCCTCAAAAAGCTCGTAGACCTCCCACTGCCCAGTCACCAGTGATACCTACTAGTGTTGTATAGGGTCCTATGCAGTCACTTGCACAGGGTCCTATACAGCCACTAGCATAGGGTCCATCATAGGTTAGGATTGGGGCAGATGTTTCCACTACAGACCTTGATGAATCTTTATGGTTTGTAGTCAGACGCGATGTTCCCCCTAGTAGAGGTAGGGGATTGCGTGATAGAGGTTGAGGTAGAGAGTCAGTTCGCCCTCCGAGGAACTTTGATACTCAAATTCCTCCTCCCTCGCAGCTTTACACTTCCCCTTTGACTGTTGAGTCTGACTCTGATGATGAGATGATCGATGTTCCTCGTCATTCAGTTCCATTGCCCGCCTTTATTGTAGATCATAATTCCTATCCCACATTCCATAGGAGTTTGATACCTCAAGGTGGTCTAGTTGTTGATAGTGATTCAGATGACGACGCAGATGTTGGACGTCAGACTACTAGTCAATAATCCCTTTCTCGCCAGATGTACGAGATGAGAATTGAGGAGTCTCCTCCTCAATCTTCCCCTACACCTTCCACCAGTGTTTGTGGTGCACTACTCTTAGATAGACACTCTGTACAAGAGCTGCGCACTCTCTATGTGAGACCACAATCTGCTTGGCATACATCGTTGTTCCATAGTGTAGGTGTCCCACAGAGTACTGACATACAGAATCCTGTGGAAACCACTGTGGATGATGAGATCATGCCAGTTCCCCGATACTTTTCCCCTGCTGTGGATAACTTTGTTGAGCGAGGTATTATCCCTTCGACTTGGTCAGGTAGACAGGCCCAGCAGTAGGCTCGTATTTAGCAAATTGATTTTTCTCAAACTGGGCAGGGTATAGGCTATTCTCAAGAGAATCAGTTCCCTTCCGCCAACATACGAGTTGTATCTCATTCTTATCCAATCATTTCCATCTCTGACGATAAAAACCCGGAAGAGAATGAGGACAGGGTCCTTGAAGCTCCACGTGAATTTGAAGTTGGCGCCAGCTCTGCCATAAATGAGTTGTGTTAGATCAATTTGGACACTGAATCGGATCCTCGGCCTATCTTCCATAGTGCTTTGCTGTCCGAATAAGAGGCTCAAGAGTATGTTGCACTCATTTTTGAGTTTAAAGATTGCTTTGCCTGAAACTACACAGAGATGCCCGGTCTAGATCTAGATATAGTAGTCCATAAGTTAGCTATTAGTCCTGATGCAGTCCCTATCAAGCAGTCACATCATCGGATGAGGTTAGAAATTGAACAACAAGTGATTACTGAGACTAAGAAGCTTATAGAAGCTGGTTTCATTTGTGAAGAGAAGTATCCCACTTGGCTTGCTAATGTTGTTCCAGTCCGGAAGAAGAGTGGTCAGATCCGTGTCTGTACAGACTTCCGTGATTTGAATAAGGCATGTCCTAAGGATGATTTTCCTCTTCCTATCCCTGAACTCATGGTTGATATTGCTTTGTCCCATAGCATTTTCTCCTTCATGGATGGTTCATCTGGTTATAATCAGATTAAGATGACCCCTAAAGATGAGAAATTCACTGCCTTTCGCACCCCCTATAGGTGTGTTTTGTTACAAGGTGATGCCCTTTTGCCTCAAGAACGCCGGAGCCACCTATCAAAATGCCATGACTATCATTTTTGATGAATTGATTCATGAGCAAGTTGAATGCTATGTCGATGATTAGGTGGTCAAAAGCAAGATCCGTAGTGATCACCTCCGAGACCTACAAATCATTTTTGAGCGCTTGAGAAAGCATGATTTGAAGATGAATCCCCTAAAGTGCGTATTTGGTGTCAATGCGGGGAAGTTTCTTAGTTTTATTGTTCGCTACCGTGGCATTGAGATTGATCCCTCCATGATCAAGGCCATAGTGGACTTGAAACCCCCAAGGAGTCTTTCCCAGTTGAGGTCTTTTCAGGGTAAGCTTGCTTTTTTGCGGAGATTTATCTCCAATCTTGCCGGTAGATGTCATACCTTTGCTGCTTTAGCAAAGAAGGATGCCCGTTTCCATTGGGATAAGAATTGTCAGGAGGCCTTTGAGAGCATAAAGCGCTATCTGACGAATCCCCCAGTGTTAGCTGCACCCATCTCTGCCAGACCGTTGATCCTCTACACTATGGCTTTGGATGAGTCACTTGGTGCACTTTTAGCTCAAGAAAATGAAGAAGGCAAAGAGAATGCCTTGTACTATCTTAGCAGACGGTTAATTCTTGTAGAGCTAAAATACCCAGCAATGGAAAAGCAGTGTTTGGCTTTGATCTTTGCTGTGCAGAAGCTTAGACATTATATGCTCTCACACAAGATCAGTTTGATTTCTCGAGTCAACTCTTTGCGGTACCTGATGAACCATCCGACTTTGTCAGGTCGTCTAGCACGTTGGTCCATGATTTTACTGCAGTTTGACATTACCTTTGTCCCTCAGCGGGCCGTAAAAGGACAGGCTCTAGCTGACTTTCTTACCTCTCACCCGATCCCTGCAGATTCCCCACTTAATGACGATTTGCCCGATGAATTAGTCATGAGTGTGGAAGAGCAGGAGTTCCCTACTTAGGAGTTTTACTTTGATGGAGCCTCTTCCATCAAATCACTATGACCTTATGAGACTCCTATAGTTATGGTAGGTTTGGGGCTAGTTTTTGTGTCTCCTGAAGGCTACACCCTTCGTTACTCCTACAGCCTTTCTGAACCTCGTACTAATAATGAACCTGAGTACGAAGCCTTGATTGTAGGACTTGAGTTGGTCATTCAGATGAGCATTGTGCGGGTGAAGATCTTCGGAGATTCCCAACTAATCATTAATCAAGTGGCTGGAATTTTCAAAGTTCTCAAACCTGAGATCTTGCCTTATCACGATAGGACAATGGAGCTTTTATGTTTGATCCCTGAAATAACTTTAGTTAGAGTCTCTCGATCTGAGAATGGTAGAGCGGATGCACTAGCTAAACTTGCTAAGGAGTTGGTTGATCCGACTGGAAATTCGGTATCGATTGTTGTCCAGTATCGACTAACCTTGTGCCCCGCGGACTTGTCTTCTTCCGATCATCCCCTCGCAGTGTTTGTTGTTGAGGAAGAGTCAGATTGGAGAGTCCCCTTTGTTGAGTACTTGAAGCGTGGTAAGCTTCCGGATGACCGCTCTCTTGCCACTCAGATTAGAAAGAGAGCCTTGTCATTTTCCTACATGAATGAAACCCTGTACTGACGCTCTTTTGACCTGATGTGGTTGCGTTGCCTTAACAACGAGGAGGCTTGTAAGTTCATGGGTGAAGTACATGAGGGATTTTGTGGTGCTCATCAGTCCGGACCTAAGATGAAGGTCAGAATTAAACGCCTTGGTTATTACTGGCTGACCATGATCCGTGATTGAATGGAGCACGCTAGGAAGTGCCACCAGTGTTAGATTCATAATACTATTATTCACCAACCTCCTAATCCGTTGCACCCCATTGTGTCTTCTTGGCCTTTTGAGAGTTGGGGCACAGAGGTAGTGGGTCCTATTGACCCTCCTTCCTCTAAGGGTCATAGGTTTATTCTGGCTGCTACTGATTACTTCTCTAAGTGGACAGAAGCTATCCCGCTTAAGGAAGTTAAATCAGAAGATGTGATGCGTTTCTTTCGCGATCATGTTGTCTACTGTTTTGGTGTTCCGTGCCGTATAATTTCGAATAATAGTCCGTCTTTTAGAAGCACTAAAATTGCTATATTTGCTCTCTGCCATAACAAAAATTGGAGGTACTCCTCGATTTACTATCCTAGGGCTAATGGTTTGGCTGAAGGATTCAATAAGACCTTAGTCCAATTAAGAAGAAAGATACTTGTGGAAAATAAAAGAGAATGGTACGAAAAATTGCTTGAAGCATTATGGGCTTATAGGACTACATATCATACTCTTACTCAGTGTACACCATATGCTTTAGCTTTTGGGGTTGAAGCCGTCCTCCCACTTGAGGTCGAGCTCCCTTCGTTACGTGTAGTAATTAGTCATAATCTTTCTCATGAAGATAATGCCCGACTCCGCTTGGAAGAGCTTGATGGTTTAGAAGAGCTTCGTTTACAAGCTTATCAGAACCTTAAGTTGTCCAGGCCCATATGGCCCAGGCACATGATTGCCTTGTCCGACCCCGTGCTTTTCAGGTCGGGGAATTAGTCCTTGTCTTGCGTAGGCCTATCATCTCGCGTCGTCGTTGAGGTGGTAAATTTGAGCCCATTTGGGAAAGCCCATTCGTTGTAGAGCTAGTATATGAGGGTGGATCTTATTTGCTAGTTAATGCGAATGGCATTCATCCCATGCCTGTCATTAATGGGCAGTACTTGAGAAAGTACTACGCTTGAGTTTGCACATCGCAAGGGGCATCCCCCGCCACTTGTAAATATCTCTCTGTATAGACATAACTCTAAAGGATTTCTTGTACTTTTCGGTAGTCCGTGGCCATGACAATTTGTCCTCTACCACGTGATATTCGTCATGCAAAGTATGAGATCATCCTTAAGGGTTGTGTGTAAATACGCCATAGGGATGTTTGTTCTTACGTTCACATTCAGTAATCACTTTGATGTTGTTGCACAAGACCTCCTTTTCAGTTCCCTTCGAGGGTTGACTTCCTCTAGTTTCACTTGTCATCTTCAAGTGTGGTCTGGGATACCAAAACTACTAACTCAAATTTCTAAGGAATGTGATACTGGGTCCATCCTTGATCTATATTTGTCAAATATAGTGATGTTGATCCATTGTCAGTTTGTGAATTTCTCTATAAATTGTTGTTGTAATCTTTCTCTCTCCTCAGTTTTATTCATGTGACGAGTATGGCCTGGGTTATCAAAGCCAACAATTTTCCCCTCTTTATGTTACATTATACTTGATCTATATTTATGAAAAAAAGGGAAGCTCTTAGTTGAGTAGAATCGGTTGCCCTTGTCACAGGTGGAACCTGGTTCTACACTTCAAGAGCCCAAAGTCCCTCCAGATTATTTTTCTTTTCTCTCCTTAAAGCATTTCATTGATTGCTTAGGAGATGACTTTGTGTTCATTTCTTCCATTATGATTATTCATTTATAACGGAGAGATTTTCCTCTCCTATAATGTGGTACATCTTGCTTCAGATGTTAACATCATTCCTTAGTGGATTTTGATCTTCTAGTAGAAAATCAATCCACTACTTCTTTAGCAATACAATTTCTCATTGAGACCTTGCTTTTAGCTGTAAAAGTAGCCTCTTTGAATGCATAAATCTTGCTTGTACTTCTCACAGGGTCCCATCAGTTAGCATGGGTGTTACCACTGTGATCCCTTTAATGATCATCGAATTTTGATATGATGGTTGTTGTTTTTAAGTGGCAAGTGTGTCCCCTCGCCACTTCCATTGCTATTCATTTATTTTGAGATTATCCTTTCTACTTAGTTGTTTGTATGTTCCTCTTCTTAGAGAGATATACATCGGTCGATTGCCTCATGCTGTGTGATTTCAATTTTACTCTAAGAAGTCCTACTTATGTTTTGATTACTCATGGCCACGACGATTTGTCCTCTACCATGTGGTAATTGAAATATAAGTTTGGGATTTCTCAGAAGATGGATTACTTACTTCTCTTTCCCTCACAGCGCCACGCACATATGCATCGGGTGGTTGTAGAGGTGGCTTTTACTCTCTGTCTTGCTGTTGCGAATATGGTCAGGCAGACATTGAGTCATCCTCATTCACTATTTGGATCTGGTCAGGTGAATGTTGGATTTTGTCTTTTGTCCTGCTGTTTCGATCTGGTCAGGCGGACATTAGACCTTTTGGGAAGCACTTTATTCACTGTTGCAAATATGGTCAGGTGAATATTGAGCTGTTCTCATTCACCGTTGTGAATATGGTCAGGTGAATGTTGAACTCCCTTTCTCTTTCCCCCTTTGTCTCGCTGTTTCGATCTGGTCAAGCGAACATTGGGTTATCTTCATTCACTGTTTCGATCTGGTCAGGTGAAAGTTTGACATTTTCTTTTATCCCACCGTTGCGAATATGGTCAGGCTGGCATTAGACTTTTGGGAAGCTCTTTATTCGTTGTTGCGAATATGGTTAGATGAATATTGAGCTATTCTCATTCGCTGTTTCGATCTGGTCAGGTGAATGTTGACTCCCCTTTCTGGTTGGGTGCCTGACAGAGTCCCTGGGAGGCATACTTCACCACCTCTTCATTCCCCCTGTTTTATTGTCCTGTTTGGAGGTTGTTGAGTTTTCTGCTGATTCTTTGTTTCGCTGTTTCGATCTGGTCTGGCGAACATCGAGTCGTCCTCATTCACTGTTTCGATATGGTCAGGTGAATGTTAGAGTTTGTCTTTTTTCCTGCTGTTTCGATCTGGTCAGGCGGATATTAGACCTTTTGGGAAGCTCATTATTCGCTGTTGCGAATATGGTCAGGTAGATATTGAGCTATTCTCATTTGCTATTGTGAATATGGTCAGGCAAATGTAGAACTCCCTTCCTTTTTACTCGTGTTCACTGTTTCGATCTGGTCAGGTGAGCATTGAGCCTTTCTCCATTCACAGTTTCGATCTAGTCAGGTGAATGTGAGATCTTTTTTTTCCCTTCTGTTCTGCTGTTTCGATCTGGTTAGACAGACGGTTGGCTCCCTTCCTTTTTACTCATGTTCTTTGTTTCGATCTGGTTAGGTGAGCATTGAGTCTTTTCCCATTCACTGTTTCAATCTGGTCAGGTGAATGTGGGATTTTTCTTTTCCCTTCCACTCTGCTGTTTCAATCTGGTCAGGCAGATAGTTAGTTCTCTTCTTTTTCTACTCATGTTCACTGTTTCGATCCGGTCAGGTCAGCATTGAGTCTTTCCCCATTCACTGTTTCGATCTAGTCAGGTGAATATGGGATTTTCCTTTTCCCCTTCTGCTTTGCTATTTCGATCAGGTCAGGCAGATAGTCGGATCTTTTCACTTTCTACTCTTGTTCACCATTTCGATCTGGTCAGGTGAGCACTGAGTTTTCTCCATTCACTATTTTGATCTGGTCAGGTGAATGTGAGACCTTTCCATCTTTTTCTGTTCTGCCGTTTCGATCTGGTCAGGCAGACAGATGACGTCTCTATATTTGATTACTTTTCCTTATTGCTTTTCTTTGATTATTGCTCTCTAATATTTCCTTTGATTCCCAAGTCATTATTGAATTCCCTTCTTTTTGTATCATCTTAGATCTCTGGCGGATGATTGACTTGTTCTCTCTCTTTATTGATTTTGTTCTCATTAGTCGATTGCATATTCTTAGTAAGTTCTGTTGGTTGACCTTGAGGTTGTATCTTTCTAAAGTTAGGAAGGTCAACGCCAACATATACGGTTCACCCATTATTCTCCGCATATGTTGGGGGTCCGTTTGTTGACCTCGATTTTGGTTCGAACATGCTCGAGCTCTTTCAATCAATCTAATTGAACCCTGTCGAGCCCAATTCGAGCTAGAATCGGCCCGACTCGAGCCGAGTCAGACTCGACTGTGTTTGATTAGACTAGATTAGTTTATTTTTGTCGCGTCGTACCTGATTTGATTTGAATTGATCTTTAGTTTGGACCCAATTTCGTACGATTAATTTTGTTGCGTCGGCTCGAGCCCGAATTGGTTCGAATCGAGCCAAACTTGGACTCGAGTCTAGCTTGATCTTGGCTGAATTTGTATTGATTCAGCTCAACCTACTTTTGCCAGGATCCCTTCGACTTTCTAAGCAATTTGAATCCATTTACTTGATCAGGCAGTAGCTTTAACGGCTCCAATCTCTCAAGGTACAAGCTCTGTCGTTCCTGCAAGGCTCTGACGCGTGATACGTTTGCTTAGGAAAAGATGCAGTCGTCGATCGGTGGAGAGCGGCACTGCAGGGCTCGGTCCGGTGTTTGGAAGCGAGATCGAGAGTAAGAAATAACAGAATTATCTCCTAAAGCTGATAATTCTCCCAGGCATTCGCACCCCCCACTCTCGATCTCTTCTTCTCTCCCGCTCTCACGCTCCAGCTCTGTCCCCGCTCACTGGCTCTCAGTTTCGAAGCTCCCAGGCTCCTAGCTTTCTCTCACGTCGACCCCCTCTTCGATCTCTCTCTCTGTTCGCGACAAACCTGAGGGCCGAAGATGCCCAATCTCCCCTGTTCGTGCGACCCCAGCCCGACGCCGGCATCCCTATGCTTGTGAAACCGAACCCGACGCCCTCCATTCATGTAGCCTTGTTCTTGTTTCGATGTTGGTAAATTGCTAAAGCATATCTCGTTTCCATGATTGATGTAGTCAACAAAATGTGAAATTACTTCTTAGCATGTGAATATTTATGAAATTGAAATCACTTCTTTGTATTTTGATGAGCCATTTAGTAGAAGAATTTTAAAGCACATTTACATGTTCTCTTCCTTGAAAGAAACTCTTAAGTTTGTTGGAATTATGAAAGTGAATGTTCTTTGAATATATGTGTTTCTCTTGGGATAGAAGTTAGGTCTATGTTTTCTCTTATGGTAAAACATCAAATGCTTGTTTATTTATTTTTATTTTTTTTTGTTTTTAAGTCATGATTAGTTGGGAGAATTTTACATGTGCTCCAATAATTGATTTGTTTCATTAGTGAAGTTTGGAGAAGGTATTAAGTGATGGTGAGTTTAATATCCTTTTTGTTCTCATAAAAGCATATCATTAGCATTGGGTTTTTGGCAAGAATCAATGTCATAAGAACATGAACTTTATCATATAAGAAAGGTAATCCGAAGCATGAATTGTTGTAAACTCTGTTGCTCTCCAAATTACATATTTGCAAGTCTTTTTGGATATTTTGTTGGTATGTGGCATATAAGCTTTGCTCCATGATAGAGAGGTTCTAAGAGCTAATTTTCATTCAAATTCATGTGCATAGGTGTTGTGTTGAGAAAACTTTCATAAGTATTCCTTCATGTTTGTGATTTATTTTATTTCAAAGTGGTTTCATGTGGTATAAGCTAGTAGCATGTTGAGGTTGTGTCGTTTGAGAATGAGCAATTAGTATGAGGGGTTATATGTTTGATTCATATTATGTCATATATAGTTTGAGTGTGAATGGTGGCAAATCTTAAAGGATCATGTTGTTCTTACATCAAATTATGCACATTAAAATATCGGGTAGAACATTACAAAAGAGATCATAGTCATTTTTGCTTGCAT